GTTAGGGATCACGTTCAAGAGGAGCCTGTCACATGCTCCTCCAGAGCCAAGGTGCACACACAGTTAGGGATCTTGTTGAAATGTAGATTCTGCTCAGCAGGTCAGGCCTGAATACCTGACAAGCTCTTGGGCCATGATGAAGCTGTCAGCAGATCACACTTTGACCAGCAGATGCCTAGGACACACAGCACTCCAGACCTGTGGTCCTGACCTGGGTGCCAGGCCCTCCAAAAGTGGAAGCTCATGGGTCATTTCCAACTTTCTAAAATGCCTGTGGATATCACTCCTTCTTAGCCATTCAAACTACATCTATTATACAATTATATTTTAAACTATTAAAATACCAAATTGGGGCCGGGGTTGTAGCTAGGTGGAAGAGCGCTTGCCTAGGGTGTGTGAGGCCCTGGGTTTGATCCTCAGCACCACATAGAAATAAATAAATAAAGGTGTTGTGTCCATCTGTAACTAAAACAAAATAAAATTCCAAATCAGTGTGATATAAACATGTCTGTTGAAAGACAAACAGTTAAAAAAAAAATGGGAAAATAAATTTAGGGCTCTTTTTGGCTAAACTAAAAATTTCAAAACCCAGTCAGAAGGATCTAGCAGGAAGAAGGTCGAAAAGGCTGTGGGCCTCACTGGACATCTCCCTGCAGCTGCGGACAGCCTAGGGCTGGCCCCTCTGGGGAACTGCCTCCGGCTGCTCTCGGGCAGAGCGGAGCTGCTGTGCTAGTACCTCCTCTGGCTGGGCGGAGTGGCAGGGTCCACCGCGGTCAGCAGGCTGCTCTCCAGGATGTGCAGGAAGGGGCCCACTGCCATCTGAAGGCCTTCCCTAGGAAGAGCAGAAGCAGGTCAGACACCGGCACCCAGTCAGCACTCAGGGGACGCAGGCTGGCCCTGCCCTGTGAGGCCTCAGGAGCCCAACTGGATGGGCCACGAAAAAGACAAGCAGAGCAGGAGGGACAGCAGGCGGAGGACAAATGGTGCCACAGGCAGCTGGGGGTCCGGGTGGACAAAGACTCCCACCACTGAAGCTGGGCGCAGCGGCCAGGAACACAGCTGAGACAGGAGGGCTGGGGAGGGCAGCGGTGACGGGGTCCATCATGGAGAAGGAGGCCGCGAAGAGCAGAAGAGCCACGCGGAGAAGGGCGGGGTGACGGCTCCCAGGCATTCCAGAGGGCCTGGAGGGAGCCACCTCCCGCGTGTTCCTGTCGTCGGCTCTCTCCTGTTGTGCTTTAGGCCACAGGGACACTTCTTATCACGTCTGTCAGTTGACTTAGTCCCAGGGCGGGCTCTGCAGCTCCACCGTCTTCCTTCTGCGGCTTATTACCCCACAGTCCTCAGGCAGCTACTGAGGCACACCACATCCTCTCCCAGCTGTGTGCCTCTCTGTTTTTACCAAGGAAAAAACAACAACACCTCCTCTCCTCCAACTCCCAGAACCCCATCGCTGACGGAAGGGACCAGGGAGGCCCGGGACCCATCCCTACTCATGGAGACTTCACAATCAAGAAACGAGGAGCAGCGGATGGAGAGAGGTGAGCAACACTGTGTGTGACAGGCACCCTCCAGGAGAACGTGTGCAGGCCAAGCCACGCTGGACTGGAAGTCGTGACCATTTGTCCCCGAAGACACATCAGTTCTGAAACCAGGGCCAAGGGAACGGAAAGGACAGTGGACAAGGAGAAGCCAACGATGGTTCAGCCCCATCAGACCTGCCTGCTGTTTTGTTAACAGAGTCGACTGGGGGCCGGGCTGGGGCTGTGGTAGAGCGCTTGCCTGGCACGTGTGAGGCACTGGGTTCCATCCTCAGCACCACGTAAAAATAAAATAAAGGCAGTGTGTCCATCTACTAGAAAAAGTATTTAAAAAAAAGTCTACTGGAACCTAACTGTGCCCCTTCTGTTACATGTCACCACAGCTGCTTCCCGCTGTCAGGGTGGGGAAAAGGCTGGGTGGCGGAACAGCACATTTATTAACATGCATATGGACAGTGAGTGACAGTTTGAGGTAGCAGCATCACTTCATGAAAAAAGAGGAAGCTGGCAAGTTCAGGGAGGGGCGGCAAAGTGAGTGGCTTGGCTGGAGCCTTCTGGATGCCCGAGGCTGGCGCACAGTGGACGTGGGACTCAGGGTCAACGCAGGCAGCGTCTTCACATCATAGACAAGACTCGACCTTTGGGTTTTGAAGGTTTCGAGGGCTGGCTTGTTTCCCTTAGCGTGACAGTCTCAAGATCTATCTACTGGCAAACGTCATAAAGCCATTCTGCTCTATGGTGAGTGACACTGTGTTGTAGATCTATCCCACAAGAATGCAACCTTAATGAGAATGAGTCACACTCCATGTTTGTATATCAAAATATACTCGACTGTCATGTCAAACAAGAAATAGCAAGTCGGTGCAGTCGGGGCCTCTGAGGCCGCACACTGGGCAAGCCCTTGGGATGCCAGCTGCCCCGTCTTCCTCAGGACCCTCCTCTGCTGCCCACTCCCCCACTAAGCCACTTATTCTGAGGATAAGCCGAAGGCTCTTATTCTAACAGAAAAAAGAGGCTTCTGACATCTGTAAGAGGGCAGCCTTTCCTTTGGGTGGCCAAGAAGCAGGCCTTCTACCAACAGCAGCCCCACTCGCAGGAAGAGAGAGAGCAGACACAGGCCTGTCCGTCAGAGGGCGGTCCGAGTCCTGGCTCTGCCGCGCACCAGCTCAGCTCAGGCAGGGCTGTGACCTCTCAGCCCCAGCTTCCTCCCGCACCTGACGGTGAGAAGATGACACTCCTGTGTAAAGTGTCACATGATGAAGGAAGTGAGAGATACGTCCTTCCATCAGCTTCCACACCTCCCACTAAATCTTTGGAACCTTGGAACACAAGGAAAAAGGCAGTGTCTGAGACACTCAGCAGGTGGTGCTCTACATCCTTTGTAACACAGGTGGAGGCTCCAGGTCACCAGCCCGGATCAGAAGCCTCAGGACCTGGGAAGGAAGGCCGCAGAGCAGGGCTGTCTCCCAGACCACGGTGGTGCCAGCAGGCGGTGTGAGCAGGCCTGAAGGGCCTCCTTCCCACACACTCGGAGGTCTGACCAAGCGTGACTCTGCGCCAGCAGCTGCAGAGGCCACTCACCTGTCTTCCCGCTGTAGGACGTACAAGGCTGTGTCCACGGCCCTCTGCTCAACCACCTGGGCGAATCTCTGCAGAGCGGGGCAGCTTGAGAGGCTGTGTGCCTGCAAGGAGCACAGGCAGGATTTCAGATCACAGCTTCTGCCCCCAGCCTGGCAGCTGCAAGGACCTGTCTTCTGGGAAGGGGCTAAACAGCTCAAAAAGCCCTGCCCCCAGGTCCTTCCAAAGCCATGCCCTCCTGGAGGGCTGAAGAGCCAGAATTGAAAACGTTTTCCTCCATCTGATGGCTCCCATCCACTCCACGTTTTTTTTTAATTTTATTTTTTAAATTTAAAAAAGAATAAAACACCAAGGCAAGGGATTCACAACTTTCCACTTGACTTTCATTTTCCCTAAAATGCTTTCTAAAGATGTGCCATACAGATGCTCTACGGGAGCTCTCGCCTGTGACCTCAGTCCACTGCACCTAAGCACAGGTGCGTCTGTGCCTCTGCGGCATGAGGTCATTTCACAAGAGAAGGAGGGCAGCTCCTACACTGCCACGGTGTCCAACTTCTGAATCTAGAGAGATAAATCCCATGCGTGATCTTCTTTATGTATTCATTACACAAAAGAGATCCTATGGCTAGATTAGTTTGAGGAAAACAGACTTAAAGATTAACTGGGGGCGGGGGAATAAAAATTAACTGGAGGCCGGGCCGCAGTGGCGCACTCCTATAATCCCAGCGGCTCAGGAGGCTGAGACAGGAGGATCGTGAGTTCAAAGCCAGCCTCAGCAATGGGAGGCACTAAGCAACTCAGTGAGACTGTATTTCTAAATAAAATATAGAAAATAGGGCTGGGGATGTGACTCAGAGTTCAAGTGCCCCTCAGTTCAATCCCCGGTAATCCCCCCACCCTGAAAAACAAAAGATTAACCAGAGTTCTTTTTTTTTTTTTTTTTTTTTTTTGTGTGTGTGTGTGTGGTGCTAGGGACTGAACCCAGGGCAGCAGGAGCAGGGCCTTGTGCATGAGAGGCAAGCATTCTACCAAAGAAGCTCTAGCTCCAGCCCCAGAGTTCTTTACTATGGGCTTCTCAGATTTCTAATATGATGATATGCATATACTCTTCAAAAAAGAGAATAAATAAGGACCCAAAAGTTTTAGATCCTAGCAGATACTGACTGAATGTAAAAACTGAGCACCCTGGGCTGGGGATGTGGCTCAGCACATCTACCATGCACAGGAATGTGGGTTCAATCTTCAGCCCCACATAAAAATAAATAAATAAAATAGATGAGTTATTAAAAAAAACTGAGCACCCCTTCCTACCCAGAATCCTCCCTACTCATCACCCACTCGACCCCTACTCTCCCAAACACACACACACACACACACACACACACACCCCAGGTATTCTAAACAAGTTTCAAAAAACTGATCTAAAGCTGGATGTCCATACTCCTGACTGCTCTAGAGCTGGATGTCTGCACTCCTGACTGATCTAGAGTTAGATGTCTTACTCCTGACTGATCTAGGGCTGGACGTCCATACTCCTGACTGATCTAGAGCTGGACGTCCATACTCCTGACTGATCTAGAGCTGGA